AAAATTTAATTAAAGCCATTATTGTTGTCTCATTACCTATTATGACGGCCTCCATGGTCGAGTGGCTTGCACACCGGTTTTCATGGTGTGGCCATCTCTGAGGTCCCGAGTTCGATCCCCGGCCGGGTTAATGTAGAAACTAGCTTTTCTGTATTGTCTCGGGTCTGAGTGTTTGTGGTATCATCGTTGTTTCAGATTTCCATAACACAAGTGCTTTAGCTACTTACTTTGGGATCAGAACAACGTGTGTGATGTTGTCTAATATTTATTTATTTATCCATTGACTTACAATTATATGTAAGTCAATGTATTTATCTATTATTTACCTATTCCCTTCTCCTAAACTAACTCCATTTAACCGACTTCAAAAAAAGCAGGAGGTTCTTAACTCCACTGCATTATTTTGTGTCTGTTACGCGATTACTCCGACATACCGTCTGTACCGCCTCTCACTTGCAACTGGTGTAGTTCCCTGGTCGTGGAAGCTTGCAAACGTGCAACCTGTGCGGGAAAAGGGAAGCAGAGCTGATCCTGTCAACTATACACCTATCTCAGTCACTTCCATACTCTGCAAGACTATGGAACGCGTGCTCAACAACCGTCTCCTGTCGTACCTTGAAGACCTCCTCAGTGATCGCCAGTACGGATTCCGAAGAGGGCGATCTACGGGGGATCTTCTTGTGTACGCCTGTCACATATGGAGCGAGGCTATAGAAAAGCAAGGCGAAGCACTTGCAGTGTCTTTGGACATTTCTAAAGCCTTTGACCAGGTCTGGCACGTAAGCCTTTTAAGTAAGCTTCCCTCTTACGGGCATCCCACTGACCTTTGCAATTGGATCTCGGATTTCTTGAGTGAGCGTTCGATTCGAGTGGTCTTAGAAGGCTACACTTCCGAACATATGGCAATAGATGCCGAGAGTTCCTCAGGGTTCCGTACTGTCTGCAACTCTCTTTCTGCTGCATATCAATGATATGTTAATTCCAGGTACCTTTGCGTATGCTGATGACAGCACAGTTGTAGATAGGTACTTGACCAACGCAAGGGTCAGTGGAGAGGAAATTCAGTCTTGTCGAGAGTCCATGGTTAGCCGTTTGGATTTGACACTCCAGGCGGTCCCCGATTGGTGCGATGCCAATCTTGTCAAATTTAACGCTACCAAAACTCAGGCGTGTCTATTCTCCACAAAACGGAGTCCCTTCGAGCTGACTCCGACTTTTCGTGATATATCCACACCGATAGCCGACTGTCTCCAGCTACTTGGAATGGACCTGTCGTACAACTTGAACTTCGGCAGATACATTGAATCCATGGCCAAAAATGCAGCAAGGAAGCTTGGCATCCTTTCCAGGGTGAGGCGTTACTTTAAACCGGGACTGTTGCTTCAGCTGTACCAAGCACAAGTCCGGTCGTGCTTGGAGTGCTGCTGCCACCTTTGGGATGGCTCTACTACATATCAACTGGCCACTTTGGATTCAATTGACAATCGTGTCAAGAGGTTTATTGGTGACTCGGAATTAGTGTAGGCGAAGCTGGAAAGCCTTGAACACCGCCGTAAAGTTGCCTGCTTGTCATTTTATCACGGAGAGTGTGCGATGAAATTACACGATTTAATTCCGCCTTCCCCTTTCCATCACCGGGGGACTAGGCGTAGGCTTGAGTTCCACCCCTATGTTGTGGATATTCCAAAGATTTGCACGAAGCGTTACGCTTCCACATTTATATGGCGAACGGCTATGGAGTGGAATTCCCTGCCTGCAGACTTGTTCCCTGAACGTTATAACTTGGGCCTTTTCAAGGCGAGGGTGAATAGGCATTATTTAGGTGTGCATGCTCCATCGTCAACCTCATCATCACTTTCCATCAGGTGAGATGGAGGTCAAATGTGCACTTATATTTTATAAAAAAAAATTGTGATCCGATTTCAATGATTATTTTTTTATTGAGCAGGGGCTACCTCAGCAGAGGTCCCATTCGAATTTGAAGAAAATATTCAACCACTAAGGGTGGCAAATAAGCGTATGAATCTGGTTTATTTGATTTCACCCAAATATAGATTTTACAAACTGTAGTACCTTCTAAAATTAAATTAAAGTACACCAATATAATACCATACTATTATAATACCACTACTGCAAAATGCTCCCTATACATGAAAAATTAGAATATATGCTGCTACTTAGAATAATAACGCATAGAATGATAGTTTCATATCCAACGAACTGTCACAAGTGAGGCAAAAACCAAATTCATGTAGGCGTAAGCAACTTGTATCTACGCTCGTCGGCATGCACACAAATATACAAATAATGATGCCTTGGAATAACATTTCCCTCAAAAGTGGGGAAATTGTATCTTGCTTAACTCATCATTAAGTTAAAGGTGCCTACAGATTTGCCCGACATTGTCGATCAGGTGCCTACAGATGTGCTCGATTTTGTCGATCGACAATGTCGATCAGGTGCCTACAGATATGCTCGGTTTTGTCGATCGTTACTGTCGATCGACAATGTCAAGTGACAAGAATTTTCAAAAATTTATTTTTGGTAATCCTTATGGAAATGGCATTTATATCTGAATACACGATGACGGACACGACTTTTCAAATAAATGCAATATGGGAGTTATTTTCGAGGTATTCGTGGTGCTCATTACGAATATGGCACTCATTTCTAAATCCAAGATGGCAGGCACGACTTTTCGAATACTTTCAAGTTGGGTATCGTTTTCAAGGTATTTGGGGGTGCTCATTACAAATATAGCATTTATTTCTCAATCCAAGATGGCGGACACGAGTTTTCAAATAAATGCAATATGGGTATCATTTTCGAGGTATTTGGGGGTGCTCATTACAAATATGGCACTCATTTCTAAATCCAAGATGGCGGGCACGATTTTTCAAAAAAATGCTATATGGGTATCATTTTCGAGGTCTTTGGGGGTGTTCATTACGAATATTGCTTTTGTTTGAACTGTCGTGTCTGCCATCTTGGATTTAGATATGAGTGCCATATTCGTATTGAACATCCCCAAATATCTCGAACACGATACCCAACTTGCAATTATCCGAAAAATTGTGCCCGCCATCTTGGATTTAGAAATGAGTGCCACATTCGTGTTGAGCATCCTCAAATACCTCGAAAACGATACCCATATAGCATTTTTTGAAAAATGGTGTCTGCCATCTTGGATTTACAAATAAGTGCTAAATTCGTAATGAGCACCCCGAAATATCTCGAGAACGATACTCAAATTGCCATTATTCGAAAAATCGCGCCCGTCATCTTGGATTTAGAAATGAGTGCCATATTCGTAATGAGCATCCCCAAATACCTCAAAAGGATACCCATATTGCATTTTTTCACTGTTCGGCCGAATACTTAAAAAAAGGAGGAAAAAATAAGAAAATACAGTAAATTATCACAAATAGTAACTTCTATGAGATCAAAAAAAAGGTAACAAATCAAATGAACACTACCTACTTATTATGTAATTTTGTCATGAAATCATGATTAAATAAACGCTAACAAAATCTGCTGATGTGAAATAAACAATTACTTTCTTCGTTAAGATGTCATACATTTGAATTATAAACTTGAAAGTAAAATTTCTTTTTTTGTTTCTTTTTACAAAACCATAATATTGGTTTAATTTAATTTAACTTATATAATATATGTGTGTGTAGCTAGCTATCTTTGCTATAATACAGTTTGCGCGCCAATTTTCGTAAGATCATTAATCAGGCCGAATAGTTTAGCCGAATATTCAGCTATTCGGCCTCGCTCCGGGCCGAATATTCGGTATTCGGCCTGAAGGCGAAATACTAGTCGTTGCAACACTAATTATGAGTACAAAAAAGGTTTAAATCCGCGAGAATGTTTTAAACTTTTAGCCACAACTTTTGGTGATACTGCTTGTTCACGAGGTACAGTTTTGGTTTGCTGAATTTAAAAGAGGACGGGGAAGATTTGAAGACGAGGCAAAGTCAGGTCGGCCACTAACCGTGGTTACTCAAGAAAACGTTCAAGCTGTCGAAAAAGTAATTCGTGAAAACCGACGAACTACATATGTAGAGCTGAGGCGAGAATTGGGCAGTGGATCAGCAGCATTGCAAACTATTATTCACGGACAACTGTCTCTCCATAAGCGTTGTTCGAGATGGGTTGCGCACAAACTTAACGATGAGCACAAAGAACGTCGCGTGGATTGGCGCAAATTTATGTTAGATAAATTCGACACTGGCGAGAAAAAAAACGTTTATGATATACTGAGAGGTTACGAAAAATGGTAATGTAACTTTGATCCTGAATCAAAGTATCAGTCCACTGTATGGTGTTTTGAAGATGAGCCGACGCCAACGAAATGTCGTCGTACACGAAGCACACAGAAACAAATGGTCGCCTAATTTTTCTGCATGACGGGACACATTGCTACTGCGTGATACATGATCAAAGCACAATTAACTCCGAATGGTATATAACAGTTTGTGCCCCAAAATTGTTGTGAGCTTGGTATGACAAGCGGCTGAAGTCAGGAATCCGGCACCTCCTCTGGCATCACGACACGCCGCTCCGCACACTTCTAATAATAATAATAATAATAACGCTCACACTCAACATAGCCCCGCACTAGGGAGACCCTGTGTCGCGGGTGCTATGGATACACACATAGACAACCACAAATTACACCCAAACTCACGAGATAAATAAATGTAGGCCATACAAATATTTCTCCCTGCCCGGGAATCGAACCTGGGACCTCTGAAAAAAAATAACAATATCACAATTAAAATAAATTAACAAAACATTATAACTTAATAAAAAATCATCGGTGTATACATCGACGTGGTAGTCAGGCGAGCAAACAGCTCTCGAATTAAGGCATTGCTACTCAAACCTTAATTATAAAAGGAGCTCTACTGCTAGTCAAACCTTTTTGTTTATTATTCTCCCTAATCAAAACTCGATAGGAAATACTCTGATCGTTAAACGTTTGTCATCAGGTTCGACGAAGGACACGACGGTTACCTGGATCTGAGCGAGGTGAAGCGCATGATGGAACGACTGGGCGCGCCGCAGACTCACCTGGGCCTTAAAGCCATGATCACAGAGGTCGACGAGGACATGGACAACCGGATCAGCTTTAGGGAGTTCCTACTTATTTATAGGTTTGTATCACTTATTGTTGTTATTTGTACCATTCTCATAACCGTGGTTGTAGAAAGTGATAGTGAGTCAAGATTGAGGATGTGGTACCAGAAATGGGCAAGCCCCCGGGTTATGTCGAGTTAAAACCCATTAATGTCCAAAATGGAGGACTAAAACTATTTACAACAATTTTTTTTTATAAATCAAGATTTGTTCAAATTTAATGATATTATTACAAAATGTTTTATTGCTTTCTGATCTAGACGATTTGATTTGCCTTTTTATTGAATAGATTCCGCTTGAAAATTGTATTGAAATAAAACAATACTAAAAATTTTAGACGTTATGCACTTGAATCGATCTTCTATAAAGTGCATTCTTAGTAGTGAGCAAAGAGTGAGAATCCACAGGATTGCAAGGTGTTGGTGTGGAGTTGGAGTCTTTGTCGTCTTTTAGTTGTTATATGTATAGAAATTTGTTTTATGTATGGAATTATACCAAATTCCATTGACTTACAAATAAATGGACGACGGGTCTAATACACAAACGACGAAAAAAAATGTCCCAAGTCAACCTATTTAAACGTAGTGACATGTAAAGGAATATGAAAAAGCTAAAACGTTGAATTTAAATTGTAATGTTATCGCAGTACTGTCTAATTTTGCTTGCTTCGCTGTCGAACAAATGTCGAACAAATGAAGACTAAAGCGTGAATGCCGCTCTGTATACGGTTTTAACGCCCTATAAGTTCGGACACTTTTTAGCGCGGACACGACGTCCATATAATTGTAAGTCAATGCCAAATTCCGTATTCGTCATACCCTCACGATTTTGGGCTGAAATGGGTAAAAACCCGGGCGGGTTGATTGAGTTTTTACTAGAGATACGCCGAGTAATCGTTTGCTACTCGGTACTCTGTGTACTCGGCCGTTATTTTACTACTCGTACTCGGCCGAATTACTCGGTTCATGAGAAGAGTTACTCGGTTAAAATAAAGCATTACAGCTATAGACATAATTAAGTAAAACCAACAATATTTTTAAAATAATCAAAAGATATTTATTACTACAAATTCTAGACAATTGTAACAATTTGTAGCAATTTAGTAATTTAAAAAGAAAGTTTACATTATTCATACTTAAAATTTAACAAAGACAAGTTATGACAGAGAAGAAATAAGTAACGAGAACGGACACTCTCCGCCCCTCCATAGCTTTAAATACCGCACCACGCCCCGCACATTGACGGTCACTATTACGGTATATATTATTCTAGTTAGTGACTTAATGAAAAATATAATATTGTATCGACATAAATACCGACGTAATGAACATGTGTAATTATTAGGACTCTATAATAGAATTATAGATAACAGATTAGCGTTAGAATTAAAGTAATAGTATGAGCAAGTGATGCCACTTCACGCACACATTTGCTTGTGTGCAGATAGCGCCTTGCTGTATGTAGTAGTAGTAGGTAAATAATTTTCGATCGTTGTATGGAGTGTCCGGGGTGTGGTTATCATGTAGGAATACAAGGCTTTCTGCGCGTTCGGGTAATAGTCTGTTCCTTTTTTCTTCATACACATCACCCGCTTCGGAAAGTAACGGCTCGCTATACACATTGCTTGCAGGTGCACATAAAAACAGCCGTGCCACTGTGCCAGTTTTGGATATCTTGTTTTATGCCCACTACTCGAAAGGACTCTGCTCTCGCGACAATAAACTTTCATTGACATATCGGTCTAATTCTAGAACAATGGGACTTTAAGGATCTTCGCGTTCCGGTTGTAATGAACCGAGTAACTCGGCCAAGTACTCGGCTCGGCAAATGTTAAACCGAGTAATATTCGGTACTCGGTTACTCGGCAAAACTTGTACTCCGCGCGTCTCTAGTTTTTAACCACTGCCCATATCTTTCTGATATACCCGTGTTTCGTTCCAGCTTTACCATAACAGAGCGGAGGCACGCAGAACTAACATTAAAAAAATCTTTTTAAACTTGTATTGAAACAAAACACTATACATAGCCAATTAGCTTCAAAATATAAATCAACTATTTCCTTCCTCTAGATAAACTCGTTTCCCGATTAATATGAAAACAATTGAGTAGGAAGGTACCCAATTAAAATACCTACATAGCTTTATGTGGCCCGCGCAACATTTACCATTTGTGTGCTTGTGGTTTACCTGTTTGTCATAATTCAAAAACTATTTAGTTATCTCGCAGCCTTTCTGCTATAAAGCAGTATTGCAGAATAAGTACTTACTACGATTTTGAAACAAGCATACATCGACAAACAAAGCAAGCGAAATTATTTTAGATCAAAAGATGATTGCTTTCTTCACGAGTTTCGTTGCTCTGCCCGTCGCTGTATTCTTCTCTTCTTCGTAGTATTCTGCAATACTCTATCAAGGTAGCGATCAGTGCTCTATAGTAGCTACCTTATAGGTATGTAAATGCAAGGCCCGGCTTCCACTGGCGCGTGGCGGAACAGTATGGCAAGGGATCCTACGGCATCCCTACATGCAAGCGTACACTGACGGCAAATATGCAGCGGTATCCTTAGGCATGCCGTGGCATACAGTCGCGAGTAGCGACAGTGTACTCACTCCTGGGCGATAAGTCGTAACGTTAAACCATGGATCAATCAAGAGGATTGATCTGAAAAAAGTTCAAAATTAGGTCTTTTTTATAAGTAAATAAGTGCACATTTCACCTCCATCTCACCTGAATCATCATCTCATGTAGGTGGCGCTGACCAATAATAGCCTGGAAGCCGTATACATTATGTAAATGGCCATGGATATCAATTCATTCCTTTTTAATATGAAATACATGAAGTTTTTTTTATTTTTTCTTTGTGAGTAATATTATTCAAACAGTGATTATGAGCTAAAATGATTTTCTGAGCTTTGAGAAATATGCGTGTCCATAGATGGCATTGTGTGTTACAAATTAATTTAAAAATACGGCTAGATGGCGCTAAGACTAAAAAAATATATAGCCGGCACAATTCTTAAAAATTTGTGCAATAAGCGCCATCTAGTTGATTTGTTTCTTATCGCTAGAAATTAGAGTAACTTTGATAAGTAGCAGCTTGTCACTGTAAACAAAATTAATAACAATCACACACGGACTTGTATATTAAACTGGACCGCGCACTTAGTTAATCAAACGAGCCGAGTGAGAGGCTTGAAAGTAGTAATGCGCCTGTTTCAAATAGGGTATTCATTTATGTTTCAGCCAGCCATATTATTTGTAACTTTTTAATTTGTACAGAAAATGTGGCAGCTTATGATGATGATGATGACCAAAACTACTAATATTATTTCATAATACAAATTAGTATACTTATTTGATATGCTACTTCATAATAGAAGGTTTTATTGTTGATATATATTTTTTTGTATTATTACAGTAAAACCTTTAAGCTAATTTTATTTAAGCAAAATTTAAAAAGTTAATAAACTATACACCACAAACCAGTAATACTAGACTTGATACTATCTAAGATGATTTTATTTAGCGTTGGCAACTTGTTAGATAAGGACAGACTACTACTTCGAGCTATCTCACGTGACTCGGTTTTTTACTTTTACATACAATAACCTTAACATAATCCATAACCCAATAAGGCGTAAATTTGTAATTTTGCTACATCGAAGTGCGCGATCCAGTTTATGAAATATATAAATCCGTGCAATCAAAGAATATATGTCTGCGACTACAATTGTAATTTGGTATTCGTCGCGACATCTGGTGTACCAATAAGTACTAAATACCCTACTACGCTGTCTTGTACTCATCCAAAGAGTATTGCTTACATCTGTGGATTAGCAGTCGTCTAGAGTTATTGGTCCATGGTTTAACGTAAAAGTCTGCCAAAGCCTGTCAAGGTATTTTGGAGGTTACCGGTTTGGTATATCTAAGCTTACCGTAGAATTGTTCTCTGAGAGTCGTATTCCAGAATTCTACTGAATGCTCAAGTCAGGATTTGAGCAGACTTAGGTATTGCAGTGAGCACTGAAAATCATACTCAAGGCCTTGCCATTAGGGTCGTATTTCCAGTGCTTGAAATCATACTCAAGTCCTAACTTGAGCATTGACTAGAGTTCTGGAATACGAGCAGTAGTTACGACTGTTATTAATGAAATTTCGTTTATAATATCATACTATTAAGGTTTATTACCTACTATTTGTCACCTAGAAATCCCCTGCCGTGCCGTGTTGTCAGTGGGCGCCGGGCATAAAACGTAGTGGATTTTCCCCTGTTAAGAGGGATTTATAGGCGACACTACTATGAAGTAGTATGATACATTCGACTCTCCTACGTTCCGCCAAATCAAGCCTAAATGGGAATGCTGATACAACAATTTTTATATTATCTATTCTAAGTAGTTCCTTTAATATATTACGTGTTTCGTTTATTACAGAAAAGCCCGTGCGGGAGAACTAGAGGTAGACTCCGGTTTGGGCGCACTGGCCAGATTGACAGAAATCAATGTGGATGAGGTTGGAGTTAACGGAGCTAAGAACTTTTTTGAAGCTAAGATTGAAGAACTCGCCAGAACAAACAAATTCCATGACGAAATCATTCAAGAACAAGAGGAAAAACGGAGGGACGCCGAAGAAAAAGCGTTGAGGAGGCAGAGATTCAAAGAAAAGGCCGCCCTATTTCAACAGTGATAAAATTTTGTATTACTTGTTGCATGTCTAATTGTCTAGTCTATAAGCTGTTACCATGGCTTTGAAGAAATAGGTTATTACTTTTAAAGAAAACTGTGGAAGAGTCGTTTTCTTATTAACAATTGAGAAGATAGATCTATTTTGAAGTTACTATGTATTGATGTTGTAAGTTATGATTTATTTTTATATAGTTTAAGTGTAAAGAAATAACAGATATACAATACAAAATGCAAAAAAATGGCTTATGGCATAGAGTTAGCCTGTACAGCTGGGCTTTTCATTAAATATTGTATAGCTCTTTATTAATGTGACAGAACTTAATTGGTATTTAATATTTGCTTGTAAGTTGTACCAAATTTAATTTTAAATATTGATTTTGCTATTGAAAGAGATATTAAACATGTAAAGTTGCTAAAAATTTTATATTATAAATCAGATATTATGTAAACTAACATAATTTAATGCCTAGTATAATTTTATAATACTAAATTATAATGTAAAAATAAATATAAATATACAAATAAAAGGTTTATGTATCAAAACAACGAACTGTTTATTTCAGTACTTATTTCTAAATAAAAACGATTGCTACTTAAGATTTAAATACAATCTATGCCGCTTTCCATAACAACGGTTTTATATAATCGGTTTATTAAAGAAAAAAGAATCCCAAATGTCGCCAATACACGGACTTATTGTTTACAAAGGTCATGCATGAACATTTGCAATGTTTTACCAGAGAATAAGGGCGCGTTCAAATTAGCCGCTGTTAGCCGCGCTGCAGCCGCGCGATTGTCACTTTTCATACAATTCTAGATTCAAATTTCATACATTCTAGAAGCGCTGCAACCGCCCGGGGCTGCCGCGCTGCTGCCACACTCGGTTCTGAATACAAGTGTGAAGAATAGTGTTAAACAAACGTAAAAATCCCATAAAAACCCGTAAACAAGGCGAAAACTTTTTACAAATATGTTTCGTAAATAGAGTTTTGTAACTATTTAATGGTAGTATTAATTTTAATTATTTTCACAAAATAAAGGTACAGTCAATTCGGGTAACTTTGAATCGTGGTGTAACTTTGAACGTAGTTGTATAAAAGATTTAAAAATTTATTTTATGTATGACAATCTTTTATTTCTAGTATTGAAACTGTGTAAATCGGAACAAAATTGTTAAACGAAAGTTATGAAAGAAAAAAGTAATGTTAAATTGTATTTTTTTAAACTTTCGCGGTTTTTTCTTGGCGAAAGTAGTTTGGTGTGATTTGTTGCTCAGTTTTAGAATCGGAATTAAATATATAAATCTGAATATTGACTGGTAAGTTTTGGTTTCCACACTTAAGTAGAGGTTTATATATCGCTTTTTTAAAGAATAATTTAATTTGGTTTTGTATTTATGCGTAAAACGAATTAGATTTTGACGACGTTACCAAACAGAGAAATTTGGGTAACTTTGAATGTGTTTGACTGTGTTAGAGAAGAGGGTAGTCTGTTTTCAGGGAGAGTTCTAAAAGTTACTCCTTTGGAAATTACTGTCTCAGTGCTCCAAAAATGCTTTTTAGGAGATTGGTCTTGGCCCTCTAACGTTGAGACATGTCAAGTCAAAATAAAGCCGATATTGTGAATATTATAAAAGAGCAACAGCTATCTAGAAAAGGCGGCCGTATTTATATTGATGACGACATTTTATTCAAGGAGTGCAGTGGGGTGAATAGATTTTTGTTATGTATTTACTTTGCCTAAAATAATTGTTATAGGTGATTCATTTTGATCTCGTTTGATAGCTAAATAAGCGTAGAATTTATTATTGAACAGAAAATTTTCATTTTTATTCGCATTAATTAAAAAATCTAAAAAAAAACAAGTTTTTCATTTCAACTAAATTAGTTCGTGTCGTTTTATTATGGCACTACCAAGTCAAATGTCGTTTTTGAACGCACTGTCAGGAATATTTGGACAGATTCACATCTAAAAAATATGAATATGTCGTATAATCTTACAGAAACTGTAAAATATCTAGAAAATATACGGTTTCCATATCGAAGGCTAATCTTATTCAAAGTTACCCAAAATTCAAGGCAACTTTGAATGTGACTTTCGGAGCAAATCTAGAACAGTTTTGTTGAATAATTACTAAATTCCTTCTATAAGAACGAAAAAAACACTAACTAACTAACTAAGGGCTTAAAAGAACACTATTCAGTTAATAAAGTAATTGTTAGAAAAACGCAAAAAATGTTCAAAGTTACCCGAATTGACTGTAATGAACGGATTCTAAAGGTGCCTACGACATTGTCGATCAACAACGAGAATTATAGACGTTTCGAGTTGTTTCGCAGTGCTCATTGAGAATGTGGCATTAATTTCTAAATTCAGGATGGTTGTCAAGAATTTAAAAAAAATATATATTTTTGGTAATCCTTATGGAAATAGCATTTATATCTGAATACATGATGGCTGACACGACTTTTCGCATTTCTAAATGCAATTTTATTTGAAGGATTAGTTTATTTTTACATACTCAGATCAATATTGTAGGGTCGGCGGACTGCACATAAGTAAAAAGAAAACGAAGTTTATTGTTTATACTATTATTTTCATGTCACGTGACGGGGCTAACAAGTCGTGCGCCTATTGGTAAGCAACAGGCCTTATAACAATTACAGTACTAATCAGAAGTCTGAGGAGCACTGCCACTGCGCCCGTCACCTTAAGACATAAAGTAGACAAGTTCTATGTGCCTGTACTTTCACCAGCACCCTTACCCTACAAAACCGGAACGCGGTAACGGTCATACTGCTTGGCGGCAGAAGTAGGTAAGATGGCAGCTCTTTTAGGACGAACTCTTTCACAAGGAGCTCTACTGATACATGTCGGAAATTGTGAAGGGAATGTTAAGGTAGAAAAAGACTCCACTAGAATGTAAGTTGAAATAAATGAATTTGTCGATCCAAGAATTGAAAAATTATATAAAAAACTTCTATACACATGTCACTGACTATCGTCCATATTAGAGTCCTCTCTAAAAGTCTCATGTTGTTCATATGACAGATTCTGGTTACTATTGCTGTTGTTTAAGTCTATGTGCATTCGAGGTACCGGCGGAAGGTTCTCTAAGTCAATTTGCTGCATACTGGCTAGGGTTTTCATAAGTGATTCATTCTGAAACAATATACTTAGGTGTAATGTTTTGTAAATATTTGATTGGAACTTAACATTTGTTGATTCACAAGTAAAGGTATGGCGAAATTATAAGGGAAGCTAATTCTTACATGCAATGAATGTGTCTTAACCATGTACATTTTCTAAGAGTGAGTGCATGTACTATAACTAAACAGTACCCATACCTTCACATGTGTTACCTCAATTTTTGCTGCCCAGTCAACTTTAAATTTACCGGTCCCTAAGTTTTCGCAATTAGGCAAGTAAGTTAGCACATCAAGCTATACACTTTTATTTGAATATCGCCTTCCAGTGCAACAGAACAAGATCTGGCAATGTGTAGCTTGATGTGCTGCCTGTTTTTCTGCAGATTTTTTATAACTTATCTGCCGATCAACTGCCATAATATTTTTTTTAGATATCCCTTAGAGAAAAATTAACTTTCTAATTTTTTTTTTAATTTCTTAACTTTCTCTTTTCTACTACGGCGTATTGAATTAACTTATTCACTATTTTAATGATTGAGGTCCTAAAGCATCTTATCACACATGTAAAAATGCAATAATTATAATAATAAGACACACAAAATAAACAAAATTAAATTTAGTAGCCTAAAAATCGGCAATTTTGAATAAAAAAAATAAAAGTCAAATATCTCGAAAAGGGTTAAGTTTAGGGTAGGGTGTTTCATAGTAAAATAAGTCAGAAATGATGAGTACTCCACGCCCTTAACGGATCTAGCACGACTTTTCCTGTAACCCTGTAACTTTTCCTGTATATATATATATATATATATAATATATGTATATGTATATATATATATATATATATATATTATATAAATGTTATATATAATTAATTGACATAAAATGTTAAATTCATGGGAGGAATAAATTTTGATATGTTTGCATTCTCAAACAATTGAGAACAGAAGTAAAACAATGCAGCTAAAGAAGGTGAAGAAGCTATACTCAAACGCATAAAACTTTTTTGCCATTTGTCAATGTGTGGTAAGACAAATCAATCAATCCAAAATTTTAAATATTTAAATTTTGACTGTAGGACTAGGCCATCGCCCGCACTGCTGTGTCACCTATGGCTGCAGCCTCCTTTGCATCACGAAGTCTGACTTATGTAGCTACAAAGTTTAAAGAATGTTATATACCATTATTTTTATGTGTAAGTTTTATATTAAGATAATAGTGGTAGTCATATGGCTTATTTATTTAAGTGCCAAAGTAATGAAGTTTCAATTTTACATTTTAAACAAATTTATGCATGTAATCTGTGTTAAGTAAACATTGATTTAGTGATATGTCCTACGTACTCTCATAAGGAACTAATTTCTTAAAGGAGTTTTTTACCACTTACATCATAAAGTCAATGACTTACATAGAACAGTGGATTTCATTGATGCCTTTATTAAACGTGAATCCGGTGATAACAATAATCAAATCCATGTACAAAATGTTTATCCAAATTACTAATCTCTTAACTATAAGAAGGGGGTTATTTTTCTTACCTGATCAAGAGTTGTATCGAATTCTCCTCCTCGTCTTGTGATTTGTTTAATTTTTTGTAGTTCCAGGGAACTGTAAATCGCAATATAAAAACTTAAATAATGTTCATAAAAATAAGAAAGCTTTTTGCTTGTTTTCTACAACTTACATCAATCGCAGGAGTTGGTTAGACGTTGCTAGCTCGTTTTGTATATCTTGCTGTATCTGTTGTGCTGTTGCCATTTCAGTGAGTACGTAGTAAAGTATATTTGTAACTTTAGACTGTATAAAAATTAAATGCACTGAGAAATTACCCACGGCCAGTAATCTACCTATAGAAAACCGCTAGCAATAGCGGCCATCTTTTTTAATGAATAATGACATTTGTCATTTTTGTTTCCTTGCTGTGATTGGCTGCCGCAGGCGTAGGTAGCCTTTCCGCCATCTTGGGTAGTGATCGTAGTATTTTACACTTTGTTATTGTTTTGTTGTTTTCACCTTGTAGTGGCTTGTAGCTTTTTTGTACAGGTTCGGATCGAGTGAAGACGTGACGTGCTTATCCTCTCCGTTAATTCTGTATTGTGTGTTTGTATTTTGCTTCATACAAAATGTACGAGTGCTGTGTATGTAAAAGTTCACGACAGGACGCTATTTTACATCATTTTCCTCGCACTGAGAAAAGACTCATGAAGTGGTTAAAGTAACTAAATCGTGATAATCTGAAAAAGTTATCACCAGAAGAACTTTCAAACGTTTTTGTATGTCAAAAACACTTTGAAAAGAGGTTTATTACGCCGAAATTACGTCTCATAGGCAGTGCATATCCATCTTTGTTTACCGAAGACGAGATTTCCCCTGGAATACCATCACAGGACAATGCCGGTAAGTTTTAAGTACAGACTTTACTATAGCCTTCTAATCTCTACGTCCTAACAGACTTTTAATATGAGCTTAGCCCGTACTTGCTTTGTAGAAATAAAATATTAATAACTATAACCGTCATCTAAGAAACAAATTCGCAATTGCCGACGTTGGTGTATCCAGCGTTAATAACTTATAACAATTTAAGTACTTACTTAATTTTAAAACTAAAGAAATAGTATTGAGTTTTGAATTGTTTGTTTATACCTGCATGTGTTAGTGTTTATACCCGGATGTGTCCTAGTTCGAAGGAATAACTTTTAATGTTATTAATATTAATTGTTTTATTTATTTTACTTACAGAAAACATGGATATTGATTTGGAGCATAGTTACTTGCGTAAAAGACACTTTGACCACACATACTTTCAAAGGGAACCACTAAAAGGTTAGTAATGCAGTTTGTATTACTGTAACATTTTCTAGTAAAACTGTTGAAATGGATTTATTGCATGTAAATTTATATTCTGACATATTGGCCCCTTTACTGGTTCGGTATTATAGTATGCGATAATATAGTATACATAATGCTTGTTGCAAATAAATAACAAGTTATTATTTTCAACTATCACCTATCACATTATTTAACTCTCACTCATAAACACACAGAATACCAAAATACCTACAGAAGAGACTTGCATAAAATTATAGTGTGTAATTTCTCACGTTTCAGAAGTAATTGCCTCTAGCTCCAGTGAGTCTCAGAATGTGCCTGGCCCATCGCAAATTCCACCGCCTAAACAGGACTTAGGTAATGGAATTTTTTTGTTGGACTCAAGTTATAAAGGATAGTTAAGGTTTTAACGGTGTGTCAACTTTTCATTTTTTACACAATTCCGAAGCAACTTGTACTTATAGACCATCAGTGAGTGTGGACAAATGGTGCTACAATCTCTTCCACAATACCTCGTTTATTGTAGATGTTAATTATGTATGTTTATTGTGATCTATTTTATAAACATCATCTATCTGTTTTATATGATGGAAACATCTTGTTTCTCAACAGTACCTAATTATTTTTCAGTTAATCCTGTAATCATTGAACCAGTGATGAATGAAGCATTTCAAGCCTCTGGTAAGTAATTTTGAGTTATTATTGTTGTATTATTACCACATGAATATGTTTGCAATGAACCTTTATTTACTCCATGCTGGATATGCAGAGGTCCTGAGTTTGTTCCCAGTTCAGACATTAATTTTCTTTGTATTATGTAACCTAGTATATTCTTCTAATAACCTTATGTATAGTCGAAAATAAATGTTTGGTTTTTCTCTTTGCAACTGCTCATTCAACAAACTTGTAACATACAACATAATATGTAAGTGTGCAGCTGCATGTTGTTATAATGTTTTACATTCCATAGTAGTTGACTTCATCATTCACTTTTGTGTTTTCCAGGCTTGGATACAGTCAGAATTGCTAAGGATCCGAAACCTATGAGAAGACGTTTAATCACGAAAGTAAAAGATTTGTCACCAACATGCAAAAGTATTTATAAAGAATACAAAAAGTCTAAACAGCAGGCCGATTTTCATCGAAGAGCTAAGAGAGCCCTTCAGTTTAATAAGAAAATGTCGTTCGAAAAATTAACAAATAAAATCCTTATGCAAAAAACAACAACAACATAACAAATATTGAGTTGTTTTATTTATTTTATTTTATCGTATTATTTTATATAAATGAACTGGAACCCCTAACCACCTTCTTTTTTTAAAGTATGGATGTATACGTTCTGCTCCTTTGCAAGACAATATCGTCTACTTATTAAAAAAAAAGGAATGTCAGTCGACATTAGTATCACAGATTAAAAATAATTCTTACTACTGAAAAAAAAGTACTACAGTGAGCAGTCTGAACGTAGTTCACTAAGTAGTCTGTGAAATTACCCTATTAGTAGGAGCTGCAACTTCAAATCGCTAACGAAAGTAACGAACAAAATGCTAAGTGCCAAAACAAAAGTCTCAGTGTCATAGTTTCCGTAGAAATTACTTCGTTAGAAAAGAAACTAAGTCGAATTCGAATTTGGCTATCTCTTTCTATCCTGTGGAATGTTTATTTTGCGTGTATCCGAAAAAGAGGAGATGAGTTGCCATAACGAAAAAAAAAAGTCTTCCAAGAAAATGGCTGGTTTTAGTAGTTACATTATATTTAGTAGTTATATCATACATGACATACGTTGTGCGTTTCTTGATTATTTGTTACCATTAAGCTGATGGCTCTGAACATTGACTTACAATTATATGGACGTCGGGTCGGCGCTAAAAAGTGTCCGCACTTGTAAGGCGCTAAAATCGTATACAGAGCGCCAAACTCCGCTTTAGTCTTCATTTGTTCGACTGACTTGACTTTGAGCGCGATACTGCAATGACATTACAATTTAAATTTCGAATAGGTTGACTTGAGACATTTTTTTCGTGGTTTTTGTATTAGACCCGTCGGCGTCGTCCATTTATTTGTAAGTCAATGGCTCTGAAGCCAATGTTCTATAAATAAATAATAAGTTGCCATAATTATTAGATTTGGTGTTGCCACCGAAAATAATGTTTTTTTTTTTTACAATTGTCAAAATAAATGACAACTGTTAGTAGTGCTCCGGGTCTTTTGTCTTGATTGTCAGTTTGTTGTCAAACACAAAAATGGACGAAGGTGTTTCAGTGAAGCACGAAGGCAAAAATGTTGATATAAAGCAAGAAAAACAAGAAAATGTCGACAGCTTCAAGTACGAATTCGATTCTGGAAGTCAAGATAGCAGTAAAAGTGGCAGCGGTGGTTATCAGCGATGGGCGCCCAATTTGAATGGAGTTCGAAAAAGTGCATTTACACCATATAAGTCGGTCCAGTGCACTGCATTGACCAACTTACAGAGAGGTAGTATCATTTATAGATTTGTGTCAGCTATGTCCGGCTATTCCTAGACGTCGTTATTGATTTGTGAGATTTCTTTGTTCGTCTTGAAGTACTGAGTCAAGGTCGCGCTGTCGTAGGTAACACGCAAGCGCGGGTGCCCGAGTTGCCCCAGCCCGACTGCAGCTTCCACGCAAAAGCTGGCCGCGGCGAGATCACTCGCGAAGACGTGAAACTGGAGCAGTATGTCGATATCACCGACGAGCACGGCCTCACGGCGTTGCATTGGGCCGCCAGCTATGGTCAGCTAAACTGCTGCCAAGATCTCGTGTGGTAAGTGTTAGGTACTTTCTTTGTTTGAGAAGTCAAAGGTGAATTTGTTTGTGTCTATTGTAGGTAGCATTGTTGTAGTTATGAGTGTTATTAATGGATATTTACGAAATTGATCACTTACTGCTGTAATGAATGGGAATATTTGGAGGTTAATGGAAACTAAATCAGAATGTTATGTGATTGTGTACAGAAATTGTAACCATAAAACAGTGCTATCACAAGATGTTCAAACACTGTTTCAAATTCACTTGCTTATTTTGACAATGAAAAATGTGGTTGGAAGTGAATATTAGTTTGTGTTGAAATATTCACTATATATCATAAAACTATTGTACATTGGCAGGTGTGGTGCAAATGTGAACATGCGGGGGCCAGAAGGCGAGACTGCACTGCACCTGGCTGCAGCAGGAGGGCACCATGATGTTGTCAAGTTCTTACTCAATGAAGGGGCAGATGTTGATTTGCAGGATGATGTAAGTTTGTTTTAAAAACTCACATAAACACCCATTTATCAATCAATGTTTTTCTTTCAAAGGATTAACATAAAGATATTTTGAGTTCAGTAAACTCCAATATTTCTTGGGCTTCTAAACAGGATTTTCCAATTTGAAAGGTAAATTTGTTTTCAGTCTGGCAGCACGGCACTAATGTATGCAGCGGCGGCAGACTTTCCATATACATGCAATGAACTCCTATTGAGGGGGGCTGATCTCACACTCACAAATGATTACGATCAAGATGCTTACACCCTTTCTACTACTAACAATAGCAAACTGGGTAAATGTTACTTTATGTCTAGGTCACATGCTTTGTTTGATGAGTTTATTCATTCAGTGGAACATAAACATATTTTCGGTAATATATATTGTTGTTTATTATTTTCAGCCCAAACTGTGATAGAGAACTTTCTGATTGGCTGCCTCAGTAAGATGTAGACACACATTCAACAATTATGTTGCTTTGGACAACCAACACAGCTGTTTTGTTTGCTTGCAGGTTTTAAACAAAAATACAGGGATTTAGTTGTAATGTAAATTTATTAAAATATAAATGTTTTTAAGTTCATAATATTATACATTGTGAAGCTATAAGTGAATCAAATACAGACAATATTACAATTATGGATTTGTTTTTTATCTTATCTATTCACCTTAGTGTAAGTACACTTATATATCCCTTGTGAAACATAGAAAAATGTTTATAAAAAGTAAAGACTTTGATAAAAAATATTTACACATTCATAGCACCAAGTATTTTTTTATAGTCATTACAATTTGGACTCGGTGAGCCAATTGAATTTCTGTGGCTTTCTATTGGACTGTGGATCAATCAGAATATTGATGATGCTAGGCTTGTCGGTGACCATGAGCGCCTTCTTCAATGCCGCTTCTATTTCCTCAACAGTGCGGCACAGGTGACCAGTCTCACCGAAGATTTCCATCATTTTCTCATACCGGACCTCTGTGCTCAGAGCTGTTGGCGGAGTGCTAGGAGAGAGATGAAATGTTTATAATATGAACTTAAATATTACTAGCTGAATCTAAATGAATATGGGAATTAAAGTATCATTTATGTATTACATAATATATTATGAATTTTTCACTGTATGTTATTACAGAATGTGTACTTTCATTCCTCGTCTGAAACAATTACTGTCAAGTAATTGTTTCGGACGGAGAATAAATAGTAAAATAAAAAATAAATAAATAGTAAATAGTAACACTCAACCAAATTAAGAGTCATGATGCAAATGAAGCTTCACACTTGACATGGTGAAACACGATGAATAAATTTGCAGTTATTTTACCTTATGATGTAATATGATTAAATTTCTAACCCTAGTACACAATGATGAATTGTTAGTTTGCGGGTAAAGTTACCTTTTGTCGCAATAACAGTATTTATATTAATTTAATACATGAAGTAATCTTACAATTCTGCGAAAAGGACCCTTTACCTGTAAATCAACACATTTTGAAATTTCACCTCTTTGATTGAAGATATTGGTGCATATAATTTATGAGTTGATTGTATATATAGCTATTAATAGATTTAGAGATCAGTATAATAGCAACTAATGATGAACAGACCATTGTGCAACGTCTCCTCCCGACTGTATATCGTCAAAGGTTTGCTTGTCAAAGCCACCGTAGATGCCGTTGTTGTTCACGATGACGACCACCACCGGCAGCTTGTAGCGGAACATTGTTTCGATCTCCATCCCTAATGGCATGGCATTTATTTTTTAATAGCACTGGTATATTTTATATTTATATTGTATCCCATAAATGCTAATGCAATCATAGTATATAATACTAGCCCAGTTGAATCAACGAAAACAAATATGTGAAATTAGTTATTTACGCAAGAATGCACACTACATTACATAATTTCTCCACGAGATAGACAAAATATCTGAATGTTCATTTCGTATATTCCTTTCAAAATTGCAAGTTTGTGGTTCAAAATATAACTTCTATAAAATTATGGGATGCAGAAGTCTCCAACATGAAAATGCGGATTAATTGCTTGAACGCTAGCTTATTCGATAGTTTTAGAAATTGGGGGTGCAGAGTCGTATCGCCCGAAGACTAAAATAGTGAATGAAACTAATATATCCATCAAGGCAAAATTCATAAAAACATTCTTATCTAATTTCTGCAAATAACTAACATCAAGAATAAGGCTAACTGACTTCATGATAAAGTCGTATTGCCCGAAGAGAAAATCCAAACTAATATTATAAATACGAAAGTAAAACTTGTCATTGTTATAACGACAGAGGGGATCTAGGTGAAGGATGTAGGCTACTTTTTGTCACAATAATAAATCTTAAAGGGGGTGAAATAGAACATGAAAATTTGTATGAGGAACTAATCGTTTCTCAAGTAAGTAGCAAAGTAGGCGTGCCTATGCTATGCAGCCCAAGTCGCGGGCACCAGCGTGATAGTGATAGTGAGTTTATAAACAAAACCAGTACAGTGAGAAGTAATGAAAATAGTAAATTTGCTACCTGAGCGAAGATTGCGATTACGCGATGCGCCCAAACATTGAAACCACATTTTTCCAAATATCCAAGTGCTATATGTAATATATATTTTAAAAGGTAACTTTTAAAATATACCTGAAAAGCCGAAGGCGGAATCTCCCTCGACACAGATGACGCGCTTGCCGGGTGCGTGGTCGCGGCACCACATCGCGGCCGCCACAGCAAAGCCCGGGCCCACCTTCAATAAAATTTTTATTCATTACAAGGATGTAATCAAAACACATCGTCCTTCAGGTAACCAAAGCGCAGAAGAATCAAATACGTGTAATCTGTAATTCAGGCTATCTTCGTTTATGGTCGTCTCACTGAAAATGCTACAACGCTGATTTTCAGTGAATCCGTTAATAGTATACATGCGGCACGAACACAGCAGACATATTTTACTAAATAGGTACCAAGTCATTCATAATTAATTACAATATGATTGATTTGAAATTAATTTGATAAAATTAAAAATATCAATTATAAATAAATAAAATTACAGATATCGACCCTGGTAAGATAAAAGGTCTAAAGTACATTTGGAAAATATTTTAAAAGAGCGATTAAAAGTAATTATTTTAAGAATAAAAAATCTTAACTCTAATTTTATTCCTTATAAGGAAAAACTGAAACTATTTTCCATATAACAAATAAAATTAGAGTGGTGACATTTTTTCTTAAAAAAATAAAGTTGCACTTCCGTAATATTTTCCAAATGCATGTTAGACATTTTACCTTTCCAGTGTCAATATAAGGTAATATTAATTAATTAAAAGATTTGATTGTAATTAAATAAACGACTAATATAACAGTTTTAACAACTCAAACTTACTCCCATAGTGCCGAAAGTGCCAGCATCAAGCCGATGTCTTGGTTTGTTATTGAGCAGCAACCCACGACCAATGTCCATAGTATTCGCTCCTTCGCTCACGATGATCGAGTCTTTCGGGATATTCGCTTGTACCGTTTTGAATACTGCGTAGTAGTTTAGAGGGACTGTTGTGTTGTTAGCTTGACTCTGTGGGTGATAAGAATAAAATATGCTTATGAATTCAGTATGAATATCAAACTGACCGTGAAATATTGAAAATCAATCATATGACTTAAAAAACAATCTAACTGACAGAACTTGGCTATATACATTTTAAGCTAATATTTATCCATATTTCGGAAAGGTAATACGCTCAATGTCACGGGCTCTTAATGATAAAACATCGGAATTATAGTAAGTTATAATTATCGTGGAAAGAAACCTCTAACTAGTGAGAATCATTCAGTGAACTGAATAACTTGATAATAAGTTAAATGCATAACAGTGATTATTTGTATGGCGAAATGTGACCCGTTCATAGGAGTATATAAATCGCAAATCTGAAATTAAACTAAAGATCGAGAAAGGAAAGACGACTCATTTTTGTCTTTCCTCAAATATCAAGAAAATTAAATTACAAATGTTTTTTTTGTCTTTTATTACAAACGATTATAACATGAGGGCTACATTTCAGACTTCGACGCAGAAAAAAATAATAATGTAAAATAAATTACTGGTGTGGCTGAATTGCCGTTTTCCGTCAAGAATAATGAGATGGAAATTAACTTTATTTTTAAAATTGTAAAGCAGAAAAAAATAGCCGTTAGTGTATGGAAACTCATCGCAATCGTTTTGATTCTTTACAATTGTAACAATAAATCCTCATCTGACCCAATGAAAACAACTCAAAATAAAAGCGCAGGACAACATCTGCATTCATGAAATTGAGATCCCTTTGTCCGAACTCCATTCAACCAGGCCAAGGATTTGAACCATGCAAATTGTGCTCCGGGTGGACAAACAACACATTAATAATGTATTTTTGCGATAATCCTAAAGAATTTTTTAGTTTTTTTACGTTGACAGTTTGATAATATTGAATACGAGGCTTTTATACTTGGTGTTTTCTAATACTCACAAGTCACAATAACGATATCATGTCACAATCAATAGTTTGAAAACGGTCGTTCGGTTTGATGTTAGTGGCTCTACCTGTATATACTCAAGCCAAATTCAATACAGACTTTTTATTTTTATTTTTTTTATAATATTAAGTGACGGGACGTACATGTCGTGCGCAAGATGGAAAGCTACACGTCTGTCCATAAAAGTTGCAGTGCCATTCAGAGATTTAAATCGCATATTTGTGGGGAAAAAGTTGACGGGCGCAGTGGCAGTCACTGCGCCCGTCAACTTGAGACGTAAGTTGACAAGTCCCATGTGCCTGTAATTTCACCAGCACCATTACCATTCAAAACCGGAACACAGTAATGCAGACATTACTGCTTGCTGCATTGCTGTTTGGCGGCAGAAGTAGGTAAGGTGGCAGTAATACCCCGGATTAACTCTTTTAGAAGGAGTTCTACTGTTACTAAAAATTATTGAATGTCACGATATTTTACCACCATGATATTCAATTATTTTTTGTGAAATTGCTCCACTAGTTTGTTATAATTATTAATAACAAATATCGAACATTTAGAAAAAAATTCTTCGATTCGGCTGGATTCGAACCGACGTCTTCTAGCAAACCGTGTCAGACGCTATGCCAACTAAGCCACGGAACGAACCAGTGGACATTGCGAATTTTTCTATGTAATTGTTGCAGATCTTTGTTTTGGGTTTTTAAGGACTTTAGCGCCATCTGTGAGAAATTTATTTCTTCACTCAGGGAGGTTGGAAAGGTTTATAGCTACTATCGTTCACTAGAGATGTCGCTTTAATCATTGTAATTTTCAAGTTTTTTTTAATGTCACGATGTCTTACTGCCATGATATTCAATTGATTTTTGTGAAATTGCACCACTAGTTTGATAAAATTATTAATTGGACATAGAATGTTAATGACGTTGCTAGGCAACCAATGATGGCCGGTGTAAAGAACATTATTGTCCATGTTTATTATTTAGGCTAGCTCTGCCCATGGCCTGCTCGCTTATTTGGAATTGAAATAGGTAAGCAGGTAATTGAATTCTGTAAAAGTAATACTCATCTAGCCAATTATTATAAAGTTTGCGAAGTATCTATTGATACAAAAGGATTTATGAATAAATTAAGTTTTTGATACCTATTAATACTCACTGCTAGATAGTGGTAATGGTAAATAAAAAGGAACAAAATTGTAACACTGTATTTTATATTAATGTACTATATGTCTCATCTAATGTCAATTTCAGATTTTTCATTCATCATCTAGCGTCAATTTCAGATTCTTTATTTCAAATTCAGAATTTGCAAATTTTCTAACATTAAAAAACTTAATTCACGCTTATTTTTATTTTAATATTTATAATGGTTGAGACCTTTGCTCAGCAGTGGGATATAATAGGTTAATTAAAAAAAATTTTGATGTAATTAGTATTATTTCAGTAATCTATTTTACTCGCTTCTTCCATGAAATATGAAGGACAATGCCCGCATTAGGGTTCATTTATTCGACACGAATTTGAACGCGCCAACCCCGCGCGGCCGCCGCGCAACGACCGCGTGCATCTGTCATATCAAAATACGCTCTATTTATTTATCCTTTACGTTTCAACTTAAATGAGCGTCTCGGGCACGCGGGCGAGTTTGGCTTGAATTTGATCTACGCGGCGACCCGCGTGGTGGCCGCGCAGTTGTATTATTCAGTGGAATTCAAATTTGTTGCCTAGTTAATTGAATTCAGATTCGCCATTAATGTACATGAAGGCGTGGTAACTGGGCGGTCGCCGCGCGTAAACTTTCTCCTTGTGTAACTGGGACACAATTCACTTTTCTGACTACAGTGCTATTTCTAAGGTACACACGCCAGCACATCAAGCTACACATTGACGTATCTTGTTCCGTTGCACTGGAGGCGATTTTCGAACAAGAATATGTATACTGATGTGCCGTTGTCCGTACATAGTAGATTGGTTTGCAGTTAAGAATCTGCTCCTTGAAAAAGAACAGAAAAAACAAATTGTGTGAAATTTACATTACCCAATGTTAGACAGACGGTCACAAACATTATAGTTAGAAACGAACAATTGAACCTTGTAAATACAGTTGTATTTTTAGTTACAGCTTTAGGGTCAAGTCACACTGAAAGAGCAGCGTCATGCAGTGGTCGGATGAGCATTTTCGGTGCAAAATATTACCTAGCATTTTGAATCTCTTCTTCTAAAGACAAAAGTTCAAACAGATGTGAAACGATAGAAGCCGCGAGACCGTGCGCGACTTTTATCAACTAGTTAAAAGAGGCATCCGCGATGAATAACTTGACTCTCAGATAAGCCTACAAATAAGTAATTTATCAAAATGGTAAAGCGATAAAAAAGAAACTAAAACTTCTGGACGTAGAAACCGCTAGATTAGTTTATTATTACTATTAGTTCGTTTCGTTCTTGCAGTTTGTCTCGATCTATGATATTTGAAATTAATGTTATAAATGATGAATGTGTACCAGTGATGAAAGAGACTCAGTCTTTTAAGCGTTTTATAAGACTCGACTCCATTTTACAGGACTCGACTCTAAAATTAAGACTACGGGTTCGAGTTTTAATTAAAAAGACTCGGTCGTTATACTAAAAGACTCAAATGACTTGAACGACTTGAAAAACTTAAAAGACTCGAGTAGTTTGCAAAGGACTTATACCTATTTTACGTCTTATTAAACCCGAAGTTTATAAATAAAAATGACGTAAGTAGTATGTAGTAAATAATCACGTTTATTTACTTATAAAAAAATCGTAAAATAAATACCTTGTGGGTAGAAATAAAATCACGCATACGGCTCATGACTCGCGATTCCCGAGGCTATGAGGCGCCAGTCGTTTTAGTCGTTTTAGTCCTATAAGTCTTTTAAGCTTCCTAGGGTTAAAAGACCTCGACTCGAATTAGTCTTCTGTTTTAGACTTATGACTCAAGACTTGAGGGTTAAAAGACTAGACTAGTCGTGAGGCGTTAAAAATTAGTCGAGGTTTTTAAAAAGCCTTAGAAGACTGAGGATCGTATTCCAGAACTCTACTCAATACTCAAATCAGGACATGAGTATTGCAGTGAGCACTGAAAATCATACTCAAGTCCTTGCTCAAGTCATTAGGTTCGTATTTCCAGTGCTTGAAATCATACTCAAGTCTGCTCAAATCCTGACTTGAGCATTGAGTAGAGTTCTGGAATACGACTCTGAGTCTCTTTCATCACTAATGTGTGAACAACTGTTTATTTACAAACAGCAAACCTAGAGTTTCTTGCTCTCATACGTTTCAGAGGAATCTGCCTTACGATTGAGCAGTAGAGTATAATCAATATGACGATTTCAACTCTGATTTGCTTACCTATGAAATAAAGGTTGTTTAAATTTGAATTTGGCTACCAGCTAAATGAAAGTTGACAACCCTAAATTGCTGTTGTAGGGTTTCATTTGTATTTACATATAATTTACAACTATTTGGACTTACATTTTGTAAATTAGATTATAGGAAAGGCGGGTACAGTCGGGGACACATTAATATATTAATAATAATTTTGAGGTCACGAGTAGCTGAAACTTTAAATCCATGTTAAACTACGTTATTAAAGAATATTATTTTAGTTCATCAACTTTGATATTGAAGTCAGAGAAAAAGATTTGATTTATTCAAAATACTAAAACAATTAAGACAATACGTTTTGGACATTTGAAGTCTCGTTTACATTTGACATGACGATTACGAACTAAAATAACAATAGTTCTCTCAACGTTTATTTTATTATTTATTTACTTAAAACTTTATATCCACAATCATTATAGTCATAACCAATACGACAGTGTACAAATCCATATATACTATACTTATATTAAATCCATCATTAAAAGGAAACTAAGACTATAATATGTACAACATAACATTAACGTAACATTTTCATAGCTTTGATGACTTTACCTCCTCAGACATACAATCATACAGACATACAGTCCTGTCAGAAAAAAATCTTCTCTTTACGAGGGCAATAGCGGTAGAAAATATGCAGAAATTTGTGTACTTACCTCAACGAATTTAGCATTGGCTACCTGCTTTTCCTTGAGCACCTTCCACCAGGTATTGCTGGCCGGCTGCAAGCTGTACTTCTTTTCAGCTAGTTTCTGTGTGAGGGCCTCAGTAAATGGTTTGATGTCGGAGTGAACCGCTACTTCGGACTTTACGCTGTTGTGGAACTCTTCTGGAGTTATGTCCACCTGAAATAAGATTACGAATGAAAGCAGCGGAAGTGGACTGAAAACTAGGAATTCAGGAATTTATATGGCGAACGGCTAAGAAGTGGAATTCTCTACAGACCCATTCCCTGAACACTATATATACTTGGGCCTTTTGAATGGAAGATTGTATAGGCATTATTCACGTGTGCATGCCACATTGTTGACCTCATCGTCACTTTCCATCAGGTGAGACGGAAGTCAAATACCAGTAAGCATGTTTTGGGCAGTAATGGTTTTCACCATCTATACCACAGATGTGTAAAAATAGCCCTTACTAAAGGGCTATAGTAATTTATGTATAACATGGTACCAAGTAACATAATAACTTCAGAACCTCCTCATACAAAACTGTTATTACGCAATATGAAGATTTATATAATGTTCGGTACGGCTGCACTCAACGAGTGGTTTTAAGTCCGCGCAATCGTATTAAGTATGGCGTTATATTTGTGTAAATAGTTTAAGGTTTATTTGTTGTACTCTAATTTGTTCTAATAGTCTTAAGTGGTAGAAATAAAGTTTGTATATGTGTCTCGTTTTATTCCAATAAGGATCAAACAGGTATTTAGTTGGAATAGTGACTCGCGCGCAGATGAGCGCATACGCAGCTAGGGCGACTACTAATACAACTGAAGCGGGTGGCAGGGTAGTATAAGTAGGTCGCCCGGCACAAATCGCCTGCAGGCGCTTGACTGAGGTTGTTATGCACCACTTATATAGTTTTTAAGATGTTATGTACAAATTAGCAGTAAGAAATGTATTTGTATAGAAAAGTATTTGTAATAGATTAACGTGTGAAAAAAATAGTATAAAGAGGGTGAGGTAACTTTTGGCGGGAAAAGGAAAGCTCGCTCACCTATAAAAGGCACATTGGACCACTATATATACACAGTCCAAAAACAGCCTAAGCTCGAGATACATAGAAAAACCCGAAGAAGAGCCAGCAGCCAACCTTACCAGACAAAAGCTAGCCTCCAGATCTTCACAGTATATACAATCGTTGTTTGATTTGAAACCAATCATAGGTGCATCGCGCACAATAAAAAACAAACAAATCTGATCTCTCTGTATTAGTTCTACAATTATAATAATTAGTATTCATTTTAATGATACTGAATTATATATAAAACAATTTAATACTTTTGCTATTTAATTTATTATTTTATTTTTGTTTATTAATTTGCTGGTCACTATTTATAAGACTTAGCAGCCTTAATTTTGTTGCATGTTTGCTCATAAATAAATAATGGATACTGTTTAGAAGAAGTAGATGGACGTAATGATTCCAATGATTACACGTCCAGTTCAATGAAAATTTGGTTCATGCATAACAATTAAAAGCTATTGAATGTACGTACGTGAACAGCAGTGAATGCGTCATTCTACCATTGTTCGAAACAATAGCAAAACAAAAATATTTTTCTCGTGATTCTAAGATGTTATGAACATTTCCATAAGTGGTTGGTTAAACTTATTTATTATTAAGCTTTATTGAATATCACGAGGCTTTGCTACCTTGATTTTTTTATGACACCAAGTGACGGGACGCAGAAGTCGTGCGCCAAGTTGCAGTGCCACTCAGAGGACTTATCTGTTTGTAAACTTTTATTTAACCATATCATATACATTTTAAATTGCTGCGCCATTTTTGGCTATCGGCAAATCGAAAAAAAAACTCAATCAGCTGTTGTTTGGTATGTTTATATATGAAAATTTACTGTAGAGGTTAATCAAGTAGTTCGTTGGCACAAAAATGGCGAAAAAAAATGCGTAACTGTATTTTGTAGTTAAAGTTTTTTTATAACTACATAACGTACATAATCAACATAGCCACACACACATAGACAACCACAAATTACACCCAAACTCAAGAGAAATATTTATTTCTCCATATAAATATTTCTCCCGGCCCGGGAATCTAACATGGGACCTCTGCGTGGCAGTCCGACATGGTAACCGTTCGGCCACGGAGGCAGATTAACGTGATGATGTGCTCCTTTTGCCTACCTGTATAATTTTCACGTCTTTGTCGAACCTCGGCGCCTGTCCGAAGTGCAGCATCCAGTTGAGTCTGGCGCCCAGCAGCAATATCACGTCAGCCTGAAGCAGCGCCTGCGTACGCGCAGATGACACGCATAGCGGCGATTCGTCGGCCACTACGCCTTTGCCTGGACATGAAAGATACTGATTTTTTGACATATCAAATGAACTTGTGGTAAGTAATTTGATGAATAATGGGTCGAGGATCATTCAAATGAAACAAGTTCGGCTATTTATTCTATAAGCGTGACCAATATTCGGTCGTAGGTCGATAGAATATTTATCGACAGCAATCACTAGCTGCTCGCAAGCGATTAACTCTTGTTTTACTTCGTCTTCAGAAAAGACAGACTTGAATATTCTACATAAATAATAACATACCCATAGGCGTGGGTAGGAAAGGCAGGTTAGTGGTTTCAACGAGCTTCGTAACGGCTTGTTCAGCGCGTCCATACGCCGCGCCTTTACCGACTATGACCAGTGGTCGTTGGGCTTTAGCCAACACATACGCGGCTTGAGCCACTAGGGCTGGGTCCGGGTGACCCAGTTTCACCGGCTCGGGATTGTAGTACTCTAGTGGTACTTTGTCTTCGTCTGCTTCAGCCTGAAAATTTAAGGTCTACTGAAAACCAGCGTCACAGCCTAATCTCGGCTGTGGCGTTAGTTAAGTGGAGTCTTTCGCATACGCCACATGTGTACACGTGACAATAATTCAAATTGTGTTAACTGTGATGCAGTGACGGTTACCATGCCGGACTGCCACGTAGAGGGCCCGAAGTTTCGATTCCCGGGACAAATATTTGTAAGGCCTACATTTATTTCTCTCGCAACACAGGGTTTCCCTAGTGCTGAGCGTGTGCGTTATTATTATTATTATCTACGATAAATTTTCAAATTAGAATTTAACAAAAATTTTATTGGAGCTACTCGGGACGCGTCATACTATTACTAATATAAAATGTAGCGAGTATCATAAAAGAGGTAAATTCGGAAAAACAGCTCCAGCGGATACACTTATATATCTACATATGTAACTTTAGATGATATTATTTAAGACTGAATTGTTGTTATTTCAATGTAGATAAATAAAGCTATTTATTATTATTACTACTATAAAACAAAATAGAGAATCAGCCGAACGTACCGTAAGCAGTGTAGCCGGCACGTCGAGGTAGGCGACACCAGGGCGGCCGCTACTGGCGAGTCGCACTGCCTTTTCCACGTGCAGGGGGATGAGACGTGCGGAGGGGGGTCGCGACGCATATTTACAGTACTGACGACTGGCCTCTACCTGTTAAAACGTTGTAAAAAAATTATTAGGAGGACAGTCCTACAGCGTTACATCCTG